ACACCTTGGGGGCTGTGGGACACCTCGGGGGCTGTGGGACACTTGGGGGGGCTGTGGCCCTTTCCTGTAGGGTGAGCTCAGGACTGGAGGAAGGAGAAGCAGCAGGGAGAAGGACAAACCATCCTGCTGGCTGAGATGAGGCATTCGTCCCTTAGGAGGAGGAAGAACAGGATGAGAGTGGCTGTGAGGAGGAGGATGGGCGTGAGGATGAAGATGAGGACTCGGGCAGCGAAGAGAGCCTGGTGGACTCAGACTCGGACGCAGAGGAGAAGGGTAAAGGGGAGATCTACGTGCAGCTGTGGGCACAAGGGGGGCATTTGCTGGTGTCTCTGGCTGTGAGCTCTGCTCCTGGGCAGGCAAGGTCACCAGGACACCCCGAACCCCTCTGCTCTGTGGGATTTGGACGAGCCCCAGGGTGGCTGCAGTGCCCTTTGGGTTCCTCTGCCCTCTCCTCGTGCTGTGGCTCAGCGGGGCCATGGATGCTCCTCCATCCCTCCCAGCTTGACTCTCTCCCCTGCCTCCAGCCGTGAATTTCCAGGCCGACTTGGCGGATCTGACCTGCGAGATTGAGATCAAGCAGAAGCTGATTGATGAGCTGGAGAACAGCCAGCGGCGTTTGCAGACCCTCAAGCACCAGTACGAGGAGAAGCTGATCCTGCTGCAGAACAAGATTCGGGACACGCAGCTGGAGCGGGACCGGGTCCTGCAAAACCTCAGTGAGAGCCACCTCCCCTGTGGGATCCCATCCCTGCAGAGTCAGGCCCCAGCTCCAACCCAGCTAACTCTGAGTCAAAGCACCCACCCTGGCTCTGGTAGAGCTTTGCCATCCTCTGCCTCTGCTGGAATCCCTGTCGCCCCCAGGATTCTGCGTGCCTTGCCACAGGAGCAGCACCAGTCAGCTGCATGGCTTTGAACCCTGTGGGTGCTGCAGAGGGATGTCAAGGCCAAGCCTCTTCCATCCTCGAGCACCACTTCATGAGCTGTGGGGACTCCTTGGGGAAACTGAGGGGTGAAAGACTCAGTGGTGGGGCTGATCTCCAGGCTTTAATGGGGCAGAGTCACACATAGGTGTGGCTGAGCTCTGCTCAGCCCAGCCTCTGTATCTCACTCTGTGCTGAGCTTTTCCAGTGGGTATCCCCAGACAGACCCCAGTTCCCAGAGGGATGAGGGGGGCTCTGATGGGGCAGGGGTGCCTGCAGGCGGGGTGTGAGGCTGCAGGAGGATCCTGGGGTGCCACGTCCAATGCGAGCCCTCTCCTCACCTGCCAGGCACCATGGAGTGCTACACCGAGGAGAAGGCCAACAAGATCAAAGCAGACTACGAGAAGAGGCTGAAGGAGATGAACAGGGACCTGCAGAAGCTGCAGGCAGCCCAGAAGGAACACGCTCGCCTGCTCAAGAACCAGTCCCGTTACGAGCGGGAGCTGCGCAAGCTGCAGGCAGAAGTGGCCGAGATGAAAAAGGCAAAGGTACCTGGACATGCCAGGGCAGGGGGGAATCACCTGGGCAAGCCTGGCTTCCACTTGGAGCTGTGTTTTCCACTCTGATGGCATGTGCAGAGCATCTGCCTGCTGGGTGGGTGCCCCAGGACACGTGTGGAGAGGGTGGGTGCTCCAGGACGTGGGCAGAGGGTGGTGGTGTTGCCTTGAAAGGCCAGTTTTTAAAAATGACACAGACACGGTTAAGGGGATAAAAGGGTTTTACTTCGGTATTTGGGATTCCAGGTGCATAATTTGATGGCAGAATGCACACTCGTGTACAGCACGGACACAAGCTTTATAGGTTTCAGGAATTAGCTTATCTATCTAGGATTCTCTAATAAGAAACTTCACAAATGCAGTAATGTCTCCCTATTTTAATGAATCTTTTCCTAGACGAGGCTAGAGCCTAGTTTACACAAGATGTTCTAGAGAGAAGGCTTCACCCAAGGCTGGAGCTTCAGGTTTAAGATAGCACAGGGTACACTGATTCTTTCTTGAGGATGTTTGGTTTCTCTGCCCAGTAGAACTCCTAAACTAAGCTGGAATATCAAGCTTCAGGAATTACAAACATGTGGGCTAAGGGGTACAGGCGGATGCATAGACGGTACAGAAAGCGTAAAAAGGAAAAGCAAAAATCATCAGGCATCAGTGGGTGCTCCAGGACAGGGGACACACATGAGGGTGGTGGGTTTCCAGGACACACTCGGAGGGTGGTGGGTGTCCCAGGACAGGGGACACACTCGGAGGGTGGTGGGTGCCCCAGGACACACTCAGAGGATGGCGAGTGTCCCAGAACAGGCAGCACACGCAGAGCCCTCTGTTGCAGGTGGCACTGATGAAGCAGATGCGGGAGGAGCAGCAGCGGCGGCGGCTGGCGGAGACCAAACGGAACCGGGAGATCGCGCAGCTCAAGAAGGAGCAGCGCCGGCAGGAGGTGAGAGCCTGGTGCCACCTGCCACCAATGCAGGGGGCTGGCACTGCTGGGGAGGTGGCCTTTGTCCTGCTCTGGCACTCCAGGTGCTTAGAGATGAAGCTTGGTGCCCTGCTGCACTCAGGGCCTCGCTGGAGCCTGCACGGTTCGAGCAGAGCACAGCTGGCTGAGCGGCTCCCAAAGGCTTCCTTCAGCTCCTGATGCAGCTGTGGGAGGAGAAAATGTGCAACTGGAGCCAGGTCAAGGCTGGGAGCCTGCTTGTTGTTAGGAGTGAGATTGTTTGTGCCAAAGGGAGCACTGGGGCTGCGGTCACCACTGGGCTGGACCTCAGGGGTGTCCTTTTCTTTCTCTCTCATGCAGTTCCAGATCAGGGCTCTGGAGTCTCAGAAACGGCAGCAGGAAATAGTGCTGCGGAGGAAAACCCAGGAGGTGAGGGAAGGGCTTCCATATCCTTCCACACAGCCCCCACCTCCCACGGAGGTCTGGGCCCCTCTGCATGGTTTGGAGAAATCCCATCCTTTCAGACAGGGCTGCCTTTGGGAATGGGGTTCCCAAAAGGACAGGAGGGGATTTGTGGCTCAGGAAGAAGGTGGGAGATGGTGGGCAGCAGCAGAGTTCCCCATCCCGAGCAGCAGAGCCTGGTGGCAGAGGTGGCTGTGAGGGAGGAGACACCTCCCTCAAACCCATGAGGCACAAATGTCCCTGGGCTTTGGGTTTATGCAGCTGCCACCCTCAGACTGTGGGGACCTGGGGGTGGTGCCAACATGGGTGGGCTGGGAGGGGCTGCCCAGCTGACACCCTCCTCCCCTCTGCCCTTCCTCCATGTAGGTGTCAGCGCTGCGCCGTCTGGCCAAGCCCATGTCAGACCGGGTGGCCGGCAGGATGAGCCAGAAGCCGGCCATGCTGGACTCGGGTGCCGAGGTCTCAGCCAGCACCACCTCCTCCGAGCCCGAATCTGGTGCTCGCTCCGTCTCCAGCATCGTGCGCCAGTGGAACAGGAAAATCAACAACTTCCTGGGAGACCCCTCGTCCTCCATTAACGGGGCTCGGCCTGCCAGGTCAGGACAGGGGCTGGGTGGTGGTGGGGGGTGAGGCATCCCAGGGACTGCCGTCCCTGGGTTTTGGCTGGTGGTGGAGGTTGTTGGGTGGCTTCTTAGTGTCCATTTGACCCATGTTGAATCAGTGATAAGCTGTGCTGGCAAAGTGTGACAGTCACCCGGGCTTGAGCCAGGCCTTCCACAAGGATTAAATGCTGTGTCACAAACCCTGCTGGACTCATCTCTTTTCCCACTTTACTTGGAGGAAATGGGAAAGTTGGGAAATGCAGAAACAGCACAGATACATCCCCTGTTTCTGGCCAGCCAGATCCCAGAATCCTTCCTGGGGCAAGCCTAGCTCTCCAGCATGGTGTGGCCATCTGCCCAAGTGCCTCTTTTTCCCTCTGGCTGTAGGAAGAAGTCCCCCAAGAAGGGGTCTAGCCAGACCTTCAGCAAAGCTGCCCGGCTCAAGTGGCAGTCGCTGGAGCGGCGCATCTTCGACATTGTCATGCAGAGGATGACCATCGTCAATCTCGAGGCGGACATGGAGAGGCTCATCAAGGTGGAGAGGGCTGGGTGGCGGGTGTGGGGCAGGGAGATGGCCATGTGGGCAATGCTGATCCCTGTTCCCTTGTCCCCCAGAAACGCGAGGAGCTGTCACTGCTGCAGGAAGCGCTGCTGGGCAAGCGAGCGAAGCTGCAGGCGGAGAGCCCCATGGAGCAGAAGGGGCTGCAGGAGCTGAATGAGGAGATCGAGGTGCTTGGGGCCAACATTGACTACATCAATGACAGCATTTCCGACTGCCAGGCCACCATCATGCAGATCGAGGAGACCAAGGTGGGCACAGGGGCTGGGCCTGGCTGGGAGGGAGGAACTGAGGGCATCCCTCTGTGGGAAGAGCATCCTTGGGCACAGCCAGCTGGTGCTGCGCTCTGGTCAGAGGACCCAGAGCCCTCTGAGAGCTGTCACACTCAGTGGGGCTTCACCCACACAGTCATTCTCGTTAGGTGATTGATTAGGGAGAGGAGTTCTGGAAGGTCCTTGCATGTCCATGGACAGGCTGCTCTTGTCCCACTGCCCTGGAGTTGTAGGGAAGCTGTGGCCACCGTTTGCCCATGGTGCTGGTGGTCTCCTGTCCCCATGGTTGGAAACATCCCAGGAGCACTGGCTTTTTCCCAGCAGAAACCATCCAGGTTTTGTGTCCAGTTGTGACACTGGGCATGGTACCATGCAGCTCCTGACTCCCCTCAGAGCCTGCAGCCTGAAATGGAGGCTGTGTGCTGTCCCTGGCTTGTCCCCAGCTGTCACCTTGATCAGCAGGGAAGGAGGGCTGCTGTTCATTCACACTAGGCTGTGGATTGTGGGTTTGGGTGAGCCTGGTGTCTATTCCGTGTCTGGTTTAGTGTTGGAACCAGAGACTGTGTAGCTGTGCACAAGCTCTTCAGTGTTGTTGCACAGTCCCGTGGCTGACTCTCCCCAGTAGCCACTGGGCAGACCGGGGGGGGCGAGTGTTGGACTGGGCCGTGCCTGCAAGGTGATGGAAGTGCCCTGCTGGCCATGGAGGCCCTTCCACCCTCCCCACATCTGGCAGAAGAGCTCCCTGCTGCATCCAGCACTTCTCTCCACATTCTAGGAGGAGCTGGACTCCACGGACACCTCGGTGGTCATCAGCTCCTGCTCCCTGGCCGAAGCCCGGCTGCTGCTGGACAACTTCCTGAAGGCCTCCATTGACAAGGTGTGGGGCCAGGCTGAGTGTGGGTGTGTGACAGGGCTTCCTGTGGGGTGCCAGGGTGGGGACATGGTGACAGGGACCTTTGTCACCCGCCTGAGCACCAGCATTGCTGCCGCAGGGGCTGCAGGTGGCCCAGAAGGAGGCGCAGATCCGGCTGCTGGAGGGGCGGCTGCGGCAGACGGACGTGGCCAGCTCCTCGCAGAACCACGCTCTGCTGGACGCCCTGCGGGAGAAGGCAGAGTCCCACCCTGAGCTGCAGGCACTGATCCACAACGTGCAGCAAGGTGGGCCTGGGGCAGGGGCGTCCTCAGGCCAGGTGTGCTGCCTGTGGGGTGGGGTGGGATGTCCATCCTTACTGGCCCCCAAAAAGCAGCTGGAGGTGCTGTGGCTGGCAACCTGCCCTCAAGGGCCAGACTGGTTGGGGACATGTGCCCTGGCCACCATATAACAGGGACAAGAACTGGGTCACCCCCACACCCTCTGCTGGTTTGGGTGGGGTGGTGACAGTGGTGTCCCCTCTGCACACAGAGAACGGCTACACCAGCACAGACGAGGAAGTTTCAGAGTTCAGCCTGGCCTCAGATGGAAGGTAAGCACCCAGCCTGGGGCTGCCTGAGGTGGTGGTGTCTGGGGCAGGAGCCTGGTGCCGTTTGTGAGACCTCCTAGATGGGCATGGATGAACAAAGCCCCACCTGAGCTCTTCTGTGGCACCCAGCCCATGGTGGGGGGAGCAGGATCTGTCTTGGACACAATCAGGGCATGAAGACTTGGTCATTCCTTGGAGAGAGGGTGTGGGGGAGCAGGGGTGACCCAAGGAGTCTGGTGGGCCACTGGCACCAGCTTTCTGAAGAGTTTGGCCCTGAAGATCCGTCTTTGCTTCTTTCTCCTTGCAGCATCTCCCAGTCTTTCACCATGAAGGGCTCAGCAAGCCAGGATGACTTCAAGTTCAAGGTTAGCTGGCCTTTTTGTGCGGCCCTGGCACAGAGGCAGGGATGGAGGGGTGGAGGGATGCTCAGTGATGCTCCAGCCCTCTCCTCTGCAGTCTGACCCTTGGGGAGCCAGGCTGGGCACAAGGCAGTGTGGCTGCTCTGTGGCTGGGCAGAACCAAGGTCTCCTGGTGCTGCCGTCCTGCGGCATCAGGGATTTGGGAAACCCCCACCACATCAGCCAGTGCCTCCAGAATCTGGTTGGCAGGGCCAATGGACTCCAAATCCCCAATCCTGAAAATGGGGTGGTGAGAGGGAGGTGGTGGTATAAGCTGTGGGTTAGACTGGATGTGGGGATTTCTCAGGGATATACAGAGTAGGGGCAAGCTAGACTAGCTGCTCTGGTGTCTGTGGACTGGCTTTGACCTACRTCATTTGAAGATCTGGCTCCCTGTTCCTTGAACAGCCTGTGTTATTCTCAGACTGTTTTGTTTTTACCTAAGTACCTGATTTATTTGAAGTCCAAACGTCCCATGATCTAATCTAAGACCAGCAAGCAGGACCACACAGCAAAAGACAGACTTACACAGAGGTACCTGTGCAGGGCAGAGGTGGAGGGAAGCAGCTATTCTGTGTTTGTATGGAGAGGTGGCTGTGATGGACATCCCAGGGCGACATGGGGGAACTCGGCCRTGTATGGCCAGAGAACCTCATAGAGAAGAATGGATGACCAAAGCCCTATCTGAGCTTTTCTGTGGGGTGGAGGAGAACATGCTGCCAACCCAAACCAGCCAGCACCCATGAGCCCAGCACCATGTGCCAAGGACTAATCCAAGCAGGAGCAGGTTGAACTCACAACTGAGGGASAGCTTCAGGCCAGGAGGGGCAGACGCACAGGTTGGGAGATGGGGAAGGGTGCTCCCAGTGTGTCCTTCGTGCAGGCTTCTTGCAAGCACATCTCTCAGGTTCACCTCGTGCCTGGTTGTGCTCCCCTGGTGCTGAGTTGGGGAAGGTCAGTGTCTTTCCCAAGGAAATCAAGTCAGATTTGACTCTGTAGTGCAGAGCTCAGCCTTGCAGTTACGGTTCTCCTGGGCTTCTCCCCCTTCATCATCCCTTTCCACTCCAATACTGAGTGCCCCCTGTGCSCACCCTGTGCCCTCTGCCCGCTCTAGGGAGAGCCCAAGCTCTCGGGCCAGATGAAGGCAGTGTCAGCCGAGTGCCTGGGGCCCACGCTGGACGTCTCCACCAAGAACATCACCAAGTCCTTGGCGTCCCTCATGGAGATCAAAGAGGATGGCATCGGCTTCTCCATCCGAGACCCCTACTACAAGGAGAAGGTGTCGCGCACCGTCAGCCTGCCCACGCGAGGCAGCACCTTGTGAGCACAGGGCGATGATCTCGGGGTGCTGGGAGCTTGTGGGGAGCTGAGCCTGGCCTGGGGGGTGCAGAGGGGTGAGGGTGAGCCCAGTCCTGCATCTGTCCAGGTTTGGCTGCAGTATGCAGCAGTGAATTTCTTCAGCGGGGCTTGGAGAGTGTATAGGTATCCTTTGCAGGTGGAGAGGAGGGTACTGCAGGAGGGAAAGGAGGGGGTGAGAAGGTCCCCAAATCCCTGCTCTGGGTTTTCAGCCTCTTTGAAGGTTTCTTGGGTTACCAAAAGACTCTGCACTCGTGGGCTGCCTCAAGATTGTGACTCTGGGGTAGCCCAAACTTTGTTTGCCCATCTGAGGGAGGACCCAGGTGTTCACTGTGGAGGGATCCCACTGGCTCCAGCCAGTGTCCTGTCACCCCTTTGTGTCCCTACTTCTCACTGTGATGGCACCCACTGAGGGAGGACACGGGTGTTCACTGTGGAGGGATCCCAGTGCAGGGGCAGGCACCCACCCTGTTTTGTCCACTTGCTTCAGTCCCAGGCAGTCTCGGGGCTCGGACACTTCGCCTCTGACAAGGCGGAAATCCTATGACCGCGGGCAACCTGCCAGGTGAGCTTGGGGGAAATGGTGACATGGCCTGGGGAGGCTGTGTGGACAGGATGCTGCCTGGGCAGCTCTTCTGGGCTGGTCAGGTGCCCGGTGAGCAGCTCTCAAGTGACGTCCCCTGATCCTTTTGGCTCAGGCCCACAGACATCGGCTTCACACCGCCCTCTTCGCCCCCCACCCGCCCGCGCAACGACCGCAACGTCTTCTCCCGTCTCACGAGCACCCAGAGCCAGGGATCCGCCTTGGATAAGTAAGTCCTGCTGGGGTGGGAGTGTGTGAGTGAAGGGACCCGAGCATGATAGCACACAGCAGGTGCTGAGTGCTGTGGGGGTGCGGGAGCAGCAGGACGTGGGGTGGCTCCAGCCAGTGTCCTNATGCTGCCAACCCAAACCAGCCAGCACCCATGAGCCCAGCACCATGTGCCAAGGACTAATCCAAGCAGGAGCAGGTTGAACTCACAACTGAGGGACAGCTTCAGGCCAGGAGGGGCAGACACTCAGGTTGGGAGATGGGGAAGGGTGCTCCCAGTGTGTCCTTCGTGCAGGCTTCTTGCAGGCACATCTCTCAGGTTCACCTCGTGCCTGGTTGTGCTCCCCTGGTGCTGAGTTGGGGAAGGTCAATGTCTTTCCCAAGGAAATCAAGTCAGATTTGACTCTGTGGTGCAGAGCTCAGCCTTGCAGTTACGGTTCTCCTGGGCTTCTCCCCCTTCATCATCCCTTTCCACTCCAATACTGAGTGCCCCCTGTGCSCACCCTGTGCCCTCTGCCCGCTCTAGGGAGAGCCCAAGCTCTCGGGCCAGATGAAGGCGGTGTCAGCCGAGTGCCTGGGGCCCACGCTGGACGTCTCCACCAAGAACATCACCAAGTCCTTGGCGTCCCTCATGGAGATCAAAGAGGATGGCATCGGCTTCTCCATCCGAGACCCCTACTACAAGGAGAAGGTGTCGCGCACCGTCAGCCTGCCCACGCGAGGCAGCACCTTGTGAGCACAGGGCGATGATCTCGGGGTGCTGGGAGCTTGTGGGGAGCTGAGCCTGGCCTGGGGGGTGCAGAGGGGTGAGGGTGAGCCCAGTCCTGCATCTGTCCAGGTTTGGCTGCAGTATGCAGCAGTGAATTTCTTCAGCGGGGCTTGGAGAGTGTATAGGTATCCTTTGCAGGTGGAGAGGAGGGTACTGCAGGAGGGAAAGGAGGGGGTGAGAAGGTCCCCAAATCCCTGCTCTGGGTTTTCAGCCTCTTTGAAGGTTTCTTGGGTTACCAAAAGACTCTGCACTCGTGGGCTGCCTCAAGATTGTGACTCTGGGGTAGCCCAAACTTTGTTTGCCCATCTGAGGGAGGACCCAGGTGTTCACTGTGGAGGGATCCCACTGGCTCCAGCCAGTGTCCTGTCACCCCTTTGTGTCCCTACTTCTCACTGTGATGGCACCCACTGAGGGAGGACACGGGTGTTCACTGTGGAGGGATCCCAGTGCAGGGGCAGGCACCCACCCTGTTTTGTCCACTTGCTTCAGTCCCAGGCAGTCTCGGGGCTCGGACACTTCGCCTCTGACAAGGCGGAAATCCTATGACCGCGGGCAACCTGCCAGGTGAGCTTGGGGGAAATGGTGACATGGCCTGGGGAGGCTGTGTGGACAGGATGCTGCCTGGGCAGCTCTTCTGGGCTGGTCAGGTGCCCGGTGAGCAGCTCTCAAGTGACGTCCCCTGATCCTTTTGGCTCAGGCCCACAGACATCGGCTTCACACCGCCCTCTTCGCCCCCCACCCGCCCGCGCAACGACCGCAACGTCTTCTCCCGTCTCACGAGCACCCAGAGCCAGGGATCCGCCTTGGATAAGTAAGTCCTGCTGGGGTGGGAGTGTGTGAGTGAAGGGACCCGAGCATGATAGCACACAGCAGGTGCTGAGTGCTGTGGGGGTGCGGGAGCAGCAGGACGTGGGGTGGCTCCAGCCAGTGTCCTSTCACCCCTTTGTGTCCCTGCTTCTCACTGTGATGGAGCAGCAGGATGTGGGGTGGCTCCAGCCAGTGTTCTGTCACCCCTTTGTGTCCCTGCTTCTCGCTGTGACAGAGCAGCTGCCGTGCCAATGCTGTGCTGCTGCCCACCGTGCCCCCTCTGAGCTCACAGCCCTGGCCTCTGCCTGCAGACAGGCTGGTGCCAGGCCCCTGGAAAGGTGAGGGAGCAGGATGGGGCGAGGGGTGAGGGCTCACAGGAAGGTGATGGACTGGCATCCACCCAAATGCTGCTGCAGTCTCTCCCAGCAGCAGGTCAGGTGCCACCCCTGGCTCGGATGTGGCTAGCAGAGCCGGTRTTCCCTGATGGAGACCTGCTGTCTGACCCTCACACRCCCTCCTGCTCTTCTGCTCTCCCCTGGTTCTCCACGTCTGCTTCTCTTCCTCCCTCCCTCCCTCCACTTCTCCCCTCTGTYCTACACTGGCTTGGATGCAATAACAATCTTCCACCTCTGACTCCACCGCTGCCTCCTCTAGTCTGGGTTTTCTCTCCCATAATCCTGCTAATTTTCTGCCCCTAGGTCTGATGACAGCGATTCCTCTGTCTCGGAGGTGCTGAGGTATAGACAAACTTTCTATTTATTACCCGTTTCTGCGCTCCTCCTTCTCTCTGTCACATGCCTGCTCTCCCTGTCCCCACATGGCCTGCCTGCACCTTGCTGCTGTCCCCACCTCCCAGCCTGTGTGTCTGTGTGTCTGTCCCCTCCTGGCATGCCACCTCTGGTTCCTGATGCTGTCCCTGAGTTGTGAGTTCAAACTTGGAACTATCCAATGCCTGGATTAGCCCCTGGTACATGGTGCTGGCTGGAYTGGGTTGGCAGCATGTCCTCCTCCATCTCTGATGGTTTCCTGCCAGCATGAGGCCACCATGTCCCACCCCTTCCCTGGCTCTCCAGCAGGATGGTGGGGTGGTGGGGAAGGGTGCTGCCAGTGTGTMCTTCATGCAGGCTTCATGCAGGCACGTCTCTCAGGTTCACCTCGTGCCTGGTTGTGCTCCCCTGGTGTTGAGTTGGGGAAGGTCAGTGTCTTTCCCAAGGAAATCAAGTCAGATTTGACTCTGTGGTGCAGAGCTCAGCCTTGTAGTTACCGTTCTGGGCTTCTTCCCCTGCACCCACCTGACTGTAGAGGTTTCCCAGCTCAAGGGCCACCTTTCCCCYATCCTTTAGGAGCATTGCAGCCTTCCAGAGCCTAAAAGAAGCTTACAAAAAAGAGGGAGARCAGCTTTTTGCACAGGAAGATAGTGACAGGACAAAGGGGAACAGTTTTAATCTGAATGAGGAGAGATTTAGAATAGATGTTAGGAAGAAATCCTTCCCTCTGAGGGTGGGGAGGCCCTGGCACAGGGTGTCCAGAGAAGCTGTGGCTGCCCCTGGATCCCTGGAAATGTCCAARGCCAGGTTGAATGTGGCTTGGAGCCACCTGGGATARTGGAAGGTGTTCCTGGTGRAATGGGATGGTGTCTAAAATCCYTTCCCGCCCAAACCATTCCATGACTCTGAGATCAGCCCTGCAGCAGCCAGRTGTCCCCTCCCTCAGCCTGTCCCCTGAGCTCSTRCAGACYCCCAGTCCCTGGGGAACTGTCACCACAGCCCTGTGAGCAGGGTCACCCTGGGCGGTTTGGAGTCAGGCAGCCACACAGAGTCATGGAGATGCCTCACCCTGAGGTGCAGGGATTGCCCCTTGGGTTCAGTCTCTGTATTGCTTTTAGGGGTGAGGAGGAGGCTGTTGGCTTGGCACTGGTAAATGCAGAGCTGAGGAACWTCATGTGCATGCAACTTCCAACCCCAAATTAATGAGCCTGTGCTTGTCCTCATGACTAATGCCAACCTTGCCCTTCTCCAGCCCCATGCATCAATTTCCCTGCCTGTGAGAGGACACAAGCCCAGCTCAGGGTCTTGTGGCTGTGTCTGATGCCCAAGGGTCACACATGGGAGGGTCAGGCGGGTGGTCCTCAGCACCCTGAGCATGTCTGGAGGGGACTGGCAGGACAGACAGACAGTAGTGTCCTTCGGAAGCAGGTTTGGCAGGGGTGGGTCCAGGGACAGCCACAGGAACAGGGGTGCAGCTACTGGTGCTGCTCTTTGTCACCCTTGTGGTCTGTGTGAAGGAGTGAGGCTCTGTCCCCAAATGTCACCAGCTAGAGGCTGACWGCCTCCAAGGGGTCAGGGTGCTGATATTGGTACCCTGAAACATCTACCCCAGTAGAGCTTCAGCTGCAGGCTGGAGAGGGCTCAGTTTGTCCCAAAATGGACCTCAGGGCCAATGAGCTGTCTCCTGACTCATCCTGGGTCTRTGCTGGCGAGGCACAAGAGGTTTGGGGAGAGAGCAGAGGGCACTGGGCACAAGGAATTGGGGGAGAGCAGAGGGCATTGGGCACAAGAGATTTGGGGGCACAGGGCACCGGGCATGAGAGGTTTGGGAGAGAGCAGAGGGGCACTGGGCAACCTCCCCCTTTCCCTGTGAGTATTACTGGGGTAGAGGTGGGCAGGGGCTGCCCATGGGGACATTCCTGGGGTTCCCACAAAGCCCTTGGCTCAGACATGCCACCTTCAGCCCATCTCACTGCTGAGCAGTCGGAGATGCTGGCTGTGAGCCATTTTCCACGCCCTGGCACTGTGGGCACGGTGCCTCTCCAGCCCTGTGCTGTACCTTTGTCTCTCTCCTACCAAGGGGCATCATTAACCCCGTGGGTGGCACCAAGAACGCCCGGACAGCCCCGCTGCAGTGTGTCTCGGTGGCAGAGGGACACACCAAGCCCGTGCTCTGCCTGGATGCCACCGATGAGCTGCTCTTCACTGGGTCCAAAGGTGGGTGATGGGCACGGGGGACAGGRACGATGGCAACGCTGTGGGAATTGGCATCGGGATTGTGGGCAGTGTTGGGCATTCCAGGGATGGTCCCTGTCTGCAGTGCTGAGCCCTGCCCAGTGCTGGGGCTGGCCAGCTTCTTTCCTCTGAACCCATGGGTGGGAGGAGATGGTCATTGACCCCAAGCCACCAYGCCCTTGAGGAGACCCCACCCCAACACCCCTGGGTGTGTTCTTCCTCCCCCAGACCGGAGCTGCAAGATGTGGAACCTGGTGACGGGCCAAGAGATCGCTTCTCTCAAGGGCCACCCCAACAATGTGGTGTCCATCAAGTACTGCAGCCACACGGGGCTGGTGTTCACCGTGTCCACGTCCTACATCAAAGTGTGGGACATCCGCGACTCGGCCCGCTGCATCCGCACCCTCACGTGAGCTCTGGGGCACCYGGGGCTCTCTGGTCATCTCTGGCGTGGCAGAGGCCACCTACAGGGGCTGGGGACATGGCCAGCTCCCAGCTGCCTGAGTGCCWGTTTGTGGTGCTGCTTTCCTAGGGAGCGGGGAGGGTGGGAGGGAATTTGGGGTGAGGGGACCTCCTGCAGCAAAGGTTCAGGGTCATAAAGTCATAAAATATGCTGAGTTGAAAGGGGACCATCAGGACTATTCAGTCCATCTCTTGGCCTTGCACAGGACACACCAACCATCCCACCCTGTGCCTGGGAGTGGTGTCCAAACACTTCCTGAACTCAGACAGCCTTGGGGCTGTGCCCATTCYCTGGAGAGCCTGATCAGTGCCCAGCACCCTCTGGGGGAAGAACCTTACCCTGATACCCAACCCAAATGTCTCCCAGCTCAGCTCCAGCCRTTCCCTTGAGTCCTGTCACTCATCATGAGAGGGAACAGATCAGTGCCTGTCCCTCTGCTGCCCCCCATGAGGATGTTGAAGACCCCAATGAAGTCTCCCCTCAATCTCCTCAAGGCTGAATAAACCAAGTGACCTGAGCTGCCCCTCATCAGGCTTTCCCTGCAGACCCTTCACCACTCTCATGGCCCTCCTCAGGGTGCTCTCCAATGGCTAAATGTCTTTTTCATATTGTGGTGCCCAAAACTGCCCCAAGGACTTCAGGTAAGGCTGTAACAGTGCAGAGCAGGGCAGGACAGTCCCCTCCTTTGACCAGCTGGCCATGCTGTGCCCGGTGCCTTCCAGAACAGGGATGTCCCTCCTTGGCTGCCAGGGCACTGCTGACTCAAATTCAACYTTTCATTGACCAGAACCCTCAGGTCCCTTCCCTCAGCTGCTCTCCAGCCTCTCCTTCCCTACTGCATACACACAACCCTGTCCCAGGTGCAGAATCTGACMCTTGTCCTTGTTAAGGGTCAAGAGTTCTGAAGAGATATTGCAGCTCTTCTGGGGGTGGCCAGGAGAGCTGGCAGCCCCAAACAGCTTCATGGCTGTGTAAATCACAGGCTCCTCAGTGGGAAACTTGTATCTCTGTGAGGAGTTTGAGGACCAGAAAGGAGCATGGAACAGAGTGTAGCTGTGGCTGCCAGTCTGGAGTGGTGCTCAAACGTTAGGACAGTATGGTAGGTCAGTTACTCACTTGTCGTGGCACAGAGCTCCTTTCTCTGCCCAGGCTCAGCTCGTCTGCCTAGCCTGACGGTGTTTCTCTCTTGTACAGAGGCCAAGAGCTCCCTGTGCTTCCCTGTGCTGGATGTCAGCACTCAGCAGCTCTTCCTGTAGGAAGCAGAGAGGCACAGGAACAGAACAGAGTGGCTGAGCTGGAAACCAGRGCAGGGTGCTCYGARTTGTGCACAGACCCTGCACCCTTGRCTGCCTCTGCAGGCCTGGCAYTGGCCTGAGGGACAGAGCTCTTGGTCCCCTCRTGGCCAGGAAGACAGGGACACTTCAGGGCGTTTCCCCAGATTGTGACCCACCTGTGCCAGCCTGGAGCCAGCAGCCCCCTGTTTTCCCTCGCTGGCAGGGTGCTTGGGATCGCCAGCTCTCCTGCAGACAGGCTGTGGCAGCAGCTGCAGTGTGGGGGTTTGTGCCCTGCCYTGAAGTCGGGGTTGTTGCCTCGTGCCCAGGGACAAACCAAGGTCTCCTCTCACCCCGCCCCTTTGAACTCTCCCTCCTTTAGATCTTCTGGACAGGTGATCTCTGGGGACGCCTGTGCTGGCACCACCACCCGCACTGTCACCAGCGTGCAGGGGGAGCACCAGATCAACCAGATCGCGCTCAACCCCACGGGCACCACGCTCTACGCTGCTGCTGGCAACTCCGTGCGCGTCTGGGAGCTCAGCAGGTCAGCGGGGTGTGGAGTGGGCAGCACACCTTGTGGTGCCACTGGCTGCTCAGAGGGGCATGAAATAACCCCCCAGGGAAAAACAAAACCTTTGAGTTGCCTGGAGTAAGGATTTTCAGGATCCTATGGGAGCTGGGGGTTGATGAGCAACACTGGAGCCGCTTGGGGTGGGGGGTTGTCAGGGCACTGGGCAGAGCTCAGCAGAAGGGAAAAGGGAAGTGGGGTGAGTAGCAGTACCCCCTGTTTGCCCTTGTCCTCCTGCAAGCTCGGTGGGCACTGGGCTGCCAACCCTTGGCTCTGTGGCCGGATGTTGGCACACTCAGGCTCTGCAGCCAGATGTTGGCACACTCTCAGACTGTGTAGCCAGATGTTGGCATGCTCTGGGGTTCTGCAGCCAGATGTTGGCACACTCTGGGCTGACTTCCTTGCCCAGAATCACTGGGAATGGGGTTTCCCTGCCTGCTGTCCCCCAAAGGGAACCACCCCAGGTGGGAGGGGCTGTGCTTGGGAGGGCTCTTTGGGTGAGCTCCAGCACRCAGCAGGGCTGAGCTGTGCCCTTGMCTGCAGGCTGCAGCCCGTGGGGAAGCTGAGYGGCCACATCGGGCCCGTGATGTGTCTCACGGTGAACCAGACGGCGAGCAACCAYGACCTGGTGGTCACAGGCTCCAAAGATCACTACGTCAAGGTACACTCCTCTCTGGGGAGCAGCACCCCAAACCCTGTAGGGGAGCCCAGATGCTGCCAACCCCTRATGTCTCTCCTACTGAGAGCTCARMARGTCAGGGGTGTGCTGGGGTGGGCAKCRCATCTTAGGGGTGCCAGGTGACATCTCTCCTACTGAAAGCTGAGCCCARATTCTGTTTTCACCTCTTCATGTGAGGTTTTCACTCATTTCCTCTTCCCAAACCTTGCCTTTTGCCTGGTCCACAATGCACCTTTGGAGAAGAAGGTGCATTTCTCTCATGCGTCAGACTCTGGCTGGGATTTGCATGTGATGGTTGACCCAGAGGATCAGCTCACCCCGTTCTGCTCCATGATACCGCCCAGATGTGACCACTCTGTCACAGCACTGCAGGAGCCTGTCCCTTCCTTGAATTACAGGCTGAATTTGGGCTGTCACCAGAGCAGTAAGGAGGGGTGAGGTGGTGAGTGAGACAGGATCCCACTCAGCTGTCAGCTTGGCTCATGAGGAGCTCACCAGGAGGAAAATGGGGCTGTCCCTGGTGGCAGATCTCCTCTGCTTGTGGCAGGACCCTCAGCCCCAGAAATCCTCCAGCAGCCAATGCCCTGGCCCCTTCCCAGCATCACTCTGGGTGCCCTGAGCCTGCAGAGGGTGGTGGCCAAACCCCCGGGGAGAGGGCCAGCTGTGTGCCCAGTGCCATCTGTGATCTGTCACCCTCTGCTCCTCCCCAGGTGTTTGAGATCACCGAGGGCATGGTGGGCAACATTGGCCCCACGCACAACTTTGAGCCCCCTCACTACGATGGCATCGAGTGCCTGGCCATCCAGGGAGACGTCCTCTTCAGTGGCTCCAGGGACAACGGCATCAAGAAGTGGGATCTGGAGCAACAGGAGCTCATCCAGGTCTGGAGGGGAGCAGGGCATGGTCCTGTGGTCACACGGGGCAGGGGGATTGTCCAGGGGGTCTCATGCCAATGTCCTGCATGRAGCTCACCAGGGAGGGCACCCCCAGTCCTGGGCCATGTGTGGGTCAGGGTGTGCTGCACCCCCATAATTTGTCCAGCAGGGTTCTTGGGATCACCAGCTCCTTCAGACAGGCTGTGGCCCCAGCTGCACTGGGGGGGGTTTGTGTCCCACCCTGAATTTGGGGTTGTTGAGTCCTACCCAGGGACAAACTAAGCCATGATTTTGGAGTCCATATCTTTGGCTCCTACCTGGCCATGGCCAGTTCCACAGTCCTGGTCAGTGCCAGGGTGTCAGTGAGGACCTGAGCTCCCTGAGACAGAGAGGACCCAGCCACGCAGGCTGGGTGTGTGAGGCTGCTGGTGGTGCTGCAGGTGAGGCTGCTGGTGACCTCTGCTCTGTTCCTGTCCCCACAGCAAATCCCCAACGCCCACAAGGACTGGGTGTGTGCCCTGGCCTTCATCCCCGGGCGCCCCATGGTGCTGAGCGCCTGCCGAGGCGGCGTCATCAAGGTGTGGAACGTGGACAACTTCACCCCRGTCGGGGAGATCAAGGGCCACGACAGCCCCATCAACGCCATCTGCACCAACTCTAAGCACATCTTCACTGCCTCCAGGTGAGCTGGGACTCCTGCCCCCAGGGGCCCTGGGAAGGGGGAGATGCTGGGTTTGAGCTGCCCCCCAGGCCTGGGTGGGTGCTGGGTGAGCAGGGAGTGGGGAGGGAGCCTTGCAGCTTTTAGCTCCTTCTGCTCCTTCACCTCCTTTTGCTCACCCGTGGCACAGCCTGCCCACTGCAGTGCCCACAGCTGTCCCTGGCCACCCCCTGCCCACGCTCTGGCCATGCCTTGGGTTACCCCCGTGCAGGGACCCCTCTCCCCTGGGGCTGGGCATTATCTGCTGCTCTCGGGGAGCTCTTCGGCAGCAAGACTCTGACATCCTCTTTTCGACCATGTCCCTTTTCTCCCTTCCTTTTTCTCTGTCTCTCTCTGCCTCTCCTTCTCCCCACCWCCCATCTGTGCCACAGCGACTGCCGGGTAAAGTTATGGAATTACGTGCCTGGGCTCACCCCTTGCCTTCCACGACGCGTCCTTGCCATAAAGGGCCGTGCTACTAGTCTGCCTTGACCCTCCTGCTCTCTGAYTCTTGCTCACATGCTCTTCTTCTGTCTCTCTTTCCCTTTTCTCTCCATCTCTCCCTCCCTCTGTCCCTCTCACTGTTGCTTTTGCTCCTCTCTCTCTCTTTCCCCCACCCCACTTTCTCTCTGGTCTGAGCTGCTTCTTCACGGTATGAAACTATTCTGCGTTTTTCCCCACTTGATAAGTCTTGGTTAGGATGGACTTGCCCCCGTGGCCCAGTCATGCCCCCACCTTGGTTTTATTTGATTTTTTGGKTTTTTTTTTTACCTTGCCAAGTGCCCACATCTACTTTGGCAGCTCTGTGGAGGCCATGGCCTGCTCATGCCTTTGCATGGATAGTGGGGTGGGAGTCAGCAGCTAGCCCCGAATTAGCCCATGCCCCAAAGCAGCTCCCTGGATGTCACTGCTGGGATCTAGCTGGAGCTCATTCAGGGGGGGTAGGAGACTTGGTCTGGGGTCACCATTTCCCTCTGTCCCCACCTGCTGCCAGTGGGGTGAGCCCCATTGGGCTTTCCTTCTCCCCAAARTGCATCAGCCAGCCTCCTGCCAGGGGAGAAGGGCCTGGAGGTTTGGGGGGCTGCATGCTGCTGTGGTGGGGGGTGGGGGGTGAACGTGCCCCTTTGTGGGGCACTGTCTGTGGGGCTGCTGCCCCAACCCCCGGGTCATGCTGTCCCTCTCCCCTTTGTTCCTCAGCGACCTGACAGTGAAGCTCTGGAGTGGGAGGAGGCTGCCTGCAGGGTCGAACTAGGACCTGCAGAAAGGCTGGAAGGCACAGGAGCAGGGTGAGGTGTGGCTGCCTCCCCCTGCCAGCACTCAGCCACCTCCAGGAGYTCAGCCCAGGACTGGGATTTCTCTGTGCCTGACCCACCGGGGTGGACAATGCTGCATCCGGTACTTTGAGCACGGTCAGCTCCTGCGAGGAGGCAGCTCTGTGGGGCACCAGCAGCTCCACTTCCCCTCCTCCTGAGGTTCCTCGTGGTTCTCCAGTGAACAGGAACTGTTCCATCTCTCCTCTCACCCATCCTGCTGAGGTTCAAACCTCGTGGTTCTCCAGTGAACAGGAATTGTTCCATCTCTCCTCTCACCCATCCTGATGAGGTTCATCCCTCGTGGTTCTCCAGTGAACAGGAATTGTTCCATCTCTCCTCTCACCCATCCTGCTGACCCTCCTGCGGGTCAGAGTTCCTCAGAGACACCCAGGTCCCTCCTGTGGGCTCCCATGGCCTGTCCTGTGCTGTGCTGTGCTGCTCCCAGGCTGGTTCCTGCAGGAGCCTTCCTCCACCCCATGAGGACATTTGGTGTCTGCTGGCCAGGACCACAACACAGATGGTGCTTCTCTGGATCCATCACTCGTGGGACACTTCTGCTGTGGGGGCTGCAGAAGGATTTCCTGGCCTTCCCTGTCCTTGGTGGCCGTGTCCCCAGTGGTCAGAGGTGTGCACCTCGAAGCTCCTTTGCCGTGTCCCATCGTGACAATCTTGGGAAGATCTCCCAGACAGACCTGCTGCAGTTCCCTTCCACATTCTCCAAACCCCAGCTGTGAACTCAACTGCCCTGCCAAAGGCTCTGGGCTCTTCCCCACATGCCCAGCCTGCTCTGCAGTGGGAAGGGCTGCTGGACCCTGCTCTGGACATCGTGGCTGCTGGACCCTGCTGTGGACGTCGTGACCCCCAGCAGGGGTTTATGGTGGGTTCCTGCAGTGAATTGAGCCCCTTGAGATGGAGGAGTGAAGCAAGAATGGAGATTACAGGGCAAAAATSCCAGGGCTGGATGTGTCACCCCGCTGCTGTGGGGTGTCTGTCCTTGCCTTGGGTTGGGCCCGTGTGGATGTGAGGATGGAGAGGATCTGGCCAGGCACGGAGCCACTGCGGCAGGAGCAGGGTGAGGTGAGGAGGGGGCAGCACACTCTGATCTCGCACAAGTCCCCTGACTCGCCCTGTGCCCGAAGGACGATCCTGCAGCGGGTGGCCTTGCACAATCTCATCTCCCTGAGGGTCTGGGGGCCCCGTCCAGGAGAGTTCCCCCAAGGATGCACATTCTGCAGGCACCTTACTCTGTCTCTCCTGTTAAAGGGGGGCTGTTAAGGCCCTGGTCTCACACTGGAGCTTCCTCCTGTCTCTCCCATGGCCTGTTGGACCATCCCCTGCTCTGTCCTGCCCTGGGCCACTCAAATCTCTTGTGAGCTGGCTGAGGAGACCCCAGGATGGGTGTTCTTGCCTCACACGCTCTCCTTTCCCCTTTGCCACAGAAGAAGCAGCACTTGAACTCAAATTTAAGGATTTCTCCGTGTGATCCCACCAGCACTGAACTGGGATCTTGGAGGCCAGGGGCTCCAGGACCTGCCCCATAAAGCACAGAGCATTTCCCCTCTGCTCTCTCCAACCACCGCGATACCTTGACCAGCCCCAGGTGATTTCCCACCGGCCTTAGCCCTTGTTCTGAGTACTCTGGCTGGTGTTTGGGGATTCCTCTGCATCACGAAAGACAGGAGCATCTCTATTGATTTGATGGGGGAGGAGGGTTGCCTTTTTTTTTTGGGAAAAGTTCCATCCTGCTGGCTTGCCTTGTTGGAGGGTAAATGGTACATGTGTGTGTGTGTTTGAGTGTGTGTGTGTGTGTGTGTTTGGGTATGTTTAGGTGTGTAACCCTGCCCAGGACAGCCACTCTCTGTCCCCTGTGATTGTGGCTGAGCCCTGCACAGCCAGGATTGAGGACTCTGTTGAGGAGCCCATCCCTCCTGGGTGACCTGTGGAGCTGAGGGTGCAGCCAAAAATRCACAGAGACCTCACCACCCGGCAGCCCACAGCCATGGGGGGCTGGAGGAGGTGTCTCCCCCACCCCAAGCCTGTTTTGGAGTGTTTCTGCACTCATTCCTCAGCTTGGCTTGGCTGGAGGGGCTCTGTGAGTTTGGAGGCTGTGTTTGCCTGTAGCCAGGTGTCACAGGTGAATCTGTGTCTGCTCTGAGATCTCCAGTGCCTGCTCTGAACCCTTCAGTTGTTCCCTCCCTGCTGTCCTGGGTGAAGGGGGCTCTGGAGGGGCTGGGGTCACACCTGCCTTGCCTTTTCCCACCCATTTCTTCCTGTGTGCAGGCTGTAAGTGCCTGTTGAGTATTCCAGGGCTGAGTGGCCAGTCCTGGGTGATGCTGAGCCCCTCTTGCTGCTGTGGCCAGCAGCACAGTGAGGGCTTCAGGGCTCTCCCAGCCTGTGGAGGGTGGGAGCTGATTTTGGGGTACTGGTGTTCCAAGGCAGAGGGGTTAAAATGAGGGATGTCCTGGTTTAGGAACAKTGWTCTCCARTTTAGTGCTCCCACTAAAATCATGCACCTCACTCCCCATCCYGTGGAGAGGGGAATTGGAGGCACAACAGATGAAGATGCTGGGTTAAGAGCAATCTACTGGAAACAGTTATGAGATAAAAGACAAACAGTAAAATAGCAACAATATTAATAACAAGTATACAAAAAAGAGAATGAATCACGTGCAGAATGCTCACTGTGGATTCTGCCACTGTGTATCTCAGAGGCATCAGTGCATGGTGTGCACCAGTGTCAGTGAAAGCCTTACACTCTGTGGGTCTGCAGTGCCAGGCCATGGATCCACACAATCCCACAGATCCCACTGTCCCTTTTCCTCTGCCAGGCTGGAGGCAGGGCCCCTCTAGTTCTCCTCACGGTGCTCATTGCTGAGTTCTTGTGAATGTGTACTGAAGGTGCGCTCATCAGCCCATTTATCATCCATCTGAGCACATCCACCCTGAAAACTGGAAATCCTCAAAGAATTCCCTGCAGTTGCTGTTTTTCCTCTCAGCTCACACACCCATGCTGCTGGGGCAGAGGTAGGTTTTCCATCCCACTTCCTCTTGTCCCCTGTGTGGTCATGCAGCTAAAAGCACAGGTTGTGTTGGTGTGTCCTCTCTCTCTCAAGCAGTTGCTCCCAACAGCAGAGGCTCTGGTCTGTACTGGTGTGACATGGGATATTTGCTCAGTCATAGCCCATGGGCTGGTCCAGTCTTAGACACAATTTTTACACAGGTACAGAGGTTGGCAGGAAGGAGAGAAGATGATTTTCATATGGCTGGAGCTGAGTCACCTTCAACGTTGTTTGTTCTCCTGATGTTGCCACCAAAGAGTTTGTGCTCTGTACAAACTTCCACCACACGGATTGTGTGCACTGGGCCTCACCTGCATCTACTGGGGACACTGAGCCTCACCTGCATCTACTGGGGACACTGGACTTCATCTACATCTAGAGGGGACACTGAACCTCACCTGAATCTACTGGGGACTGCTGGTTATTTGTTGGACTCCCTCCAACACAGTGAATTCCCTCAGGTACTGGGAACCTTCTCTGTGGTGTTCCACCTGCTTGGGCACACTAGTAGCGCATCCTTGGGAGAATTCCTTTCCCTCACGCTTGACAGGAGTCGCCTYCARAGCTGAGAGGTTCTGTCSTCTTCCCAATCCCCTTGTCCATGCCCTCATCCCAGGACAGGGATCCCAGGTGCTTGGCTTCCCTCCTGTCTGGGTCCATGGGCTGCAATACCCCAGCATCAGAGCAGTCCTCAACCCAACTGGCAGCTGAAATCTGCTCACATCTCACATCCTGGGGTTGAGGATGGAGTGGTTATCTCCAGCCCTGCCTCTTCCTCCTATTCTGAGTGCCCTGCCTTCTTTTTATCCCTCTCAGTGCAAACTGATTTGGTCCTGAGTTTCTTCTTCTGTATAGGGGTGGCTTCCACTAGCACAGGTTGTTGCTGTGGTTCAGCTGCAGTCTGAGTGGTCACGGTGCCTKCTGCTCTGCTTTCCTCCTCCTCCTCCCCCTCAGGGTGCTGTCCAGTGAAAAGCAGTGTCTGGTAAATACCAACCAGGGCCCAGCACACAGCTGTGGAACTGCCACAGCATTCTCTGTCACTTTTACAAGGTCTTGTTCAGGAGAACTTCCAAACCACTGGAGGAGAGAATTTCATTCTTCTACAAGTGGYCCATTTTCTCCCACATTCCATGCCAGTCATGACTGTTCCCCCTCAGGGTAGATCTCTGAATAAYCTCCCTAGAAATCTCTTTCTTKACTCCAAACATGATGTGGACCATGCCGAGGAGACCTGGCAGACTGAACAAGAACATGATTTCCTTAACATCCAAAGGGAATTCGAAACTTCAAAAACCATTGTAACAGGACTCGAGGAGGAGAAGCGAGTGAAAGACTGAGGAAAATCATCCTCCTCTGTTTCTCCCACAGATTGGTTATGATTGCTGATAGACTCAATGGTAGTGCCTAAGGTGAAGGTTGAAGAGCAACATGGAAGACACATCCCAAATGACCCTCATTGCCCTGCATGTCATAAACTGATCCCACAGCACATCGACAGAGCAATCCTGAACCTTCTCCCTG